CTCCACTTGAAGAACACGACTTGCACAATATTCAACAAGATTGTACAACATGCCACACATCACTAGTGATTCCGGCTTTATTGTGAGTGAAATTGCCCAAAGAGTTCGTGCGATTTAACACTGTTTGACTTATTTTTTGTGTGCCTAAGTGACAGACCGTGGTTATGCGTATAAATCTCTAACTCTTGAACAACTGAACATTCTTCAAGTTATAGACGAGGTACTGCTCAATATGCGGCAAAAAGTATGCGAAAATTACCACAAACGAATCGAAGTCTGGCAAGGCCATAGTTCCAGCCTTATAACAAAAAAAAAAAGAAAAAATTAAAAATAATAAATAAAAGAATTCATGAAAAATAATATAAAAAAAAAATTCATGTAAAAATCATTTTAATTTCATTATTTTTATGTTTATTTTTGAAACCGCAAAATGGTTAACACTGTATAAGCTGAATATGTAATAATATTCGATTCCATATGACTTTGTTATATTTTTCTTCTTAATAAATATAACTTTTTTAGGTATTCGAGTATTGATATATTTTATTGTAACGAGATTTCAAAAATACCTTGTGATACCTTGAAATTTTAATGTAGAAGATCAAAGCGTGAAATGGCTTTTAAGTTAAATAGAATACTGATTTTCGGGAAATAATATTTTTGCATAAAAATTATTGAATTTAAGGAAAAAAAATAATGTGCATAAAAAAAAAAATATTTTAGTGTAACTGATTTCTGACAAATATAATAAAACAACATCAACAATCTAAGCTGTTACAATTTGAGTCTTTTATTATTGAGCCAATGGTGGAAAATGTAATCACCACAAAAATTTTTTTATAGAACTATAAATAGAGTAGTAGAGATTCAAAAGTATTTACTAATACTACAACATACATAATTTTTTTTTTTTAATTTTTTAACTTGAAAATAAATTTAATTATATTTTTAAAAATCTTATCTCAATGCCTTTTATAAACGCATTCAATAAATTATTTATAATTTTTTGATACAATTTCAGTCTCCTGTTATTTATTTGTTTTTGTTCTATTTTTAATTATTGATTATACATCTACATACATGTATGTACATGTATAAATGTAGCCATGTACTCGTATGCAGCTAACATATTTGCACTGCTGAAACTTTCAAGTTAATTTTTAATTTTTTTTTACATTAAAAGTACAAAGTTTTAGTAAAGTATGAAATGTACAAATTCTATATACAAAAGGTATATTTAGGGACTATATTTATTCAACGCTTTTAATATTTTATAATTATTATTTGTATATGAACTTTTTTTTAAATGTAGTTATTATTATAAATATAATTATATTTATAATTAAATTTAGTTTATTTAATTTTAATTATTTTTTTAATATGTGGCCTTTTATCATTCTACTTTTTTTACACGTGTCTCTGTTAAGCTTTGCTGAATATTCCTTACTTACTTCAACTATACATATCTATATATACTTTCATTCGTAAAATTTTGTGCTCGTATACCGCTAGTTTGATTGTTTGTTTGACGCATAAAATTCAAATTTCAGTTGTAAGTATGTGTGTATGTATGTGTGTAGAGGACATTCATTTGTATTTTTATTTTTAGTTAACTCAATATGCCATTATTTAGCTATTCTTTATATGTACGTATGTATGCATTTGTTTGATAATAATTATGTAAATGTTGGTAGCCTTTTTAATTTTGCATTGATATACTTTTCCATACGGTGTTCGTAGTTTTTAAATGATATGATATTGGCTTTCTATTATCGATTTTCATAAAACTTATTTTTGTATCATAATTAATTTTGTTGCTTAAATCGGTAATCATTTAGTTTGGCTGGTTTGCATGTGTGTCTAAAATTCTATTTGTTTAAGTTAATATTGTTGTAGAATATATAATTTGTTGCTCATAAAATATGTGTGTATAACTGTGCTTGATATGCAATTCCCGTTTTAAAATTCCTATATTTTTCAAATCTTTTTAAAACTCCACTACAATACTAGTCACTACAATTCGTTGCCTTTCACGTTCTACGTTCCACGTTCTTGTTCCTTGTTTTTGTTTTTTTTTTTGCATATAATTCATTCGTTAATATTTTGAAATATGCCTTTAATAAGTCAATATTCATTATAAATAAAAAAATACATAATTTTTCAGTAAATTAGCTGTACTTCTAAAGAGGGTAAATAAGCAAATCCTCAAACTCATGTTCATCTGAATATGACTTGACTTCTTTTTAAATAGTGTAATATTAGTTTATAGTATGCGTTGCTTTTCCTATGAAGATTTTATTTTATAATATTTTATTTTATATTATTTTATTTTATATTATTTTATTTTAATTTATTTTCTCGCCAGATGGCTTATAATGCATAATTTTTCTATTTTATTCTTTTCCTATTAATTATTTTATTAATTTTTTTTATATTTTACATTCATTACATATATTATTTATTTTCTATTATTTCATTTTTTTAGTTTTTTCAATTTATTTTTGTTTAGTTATTTATTTATTTTTTTCAATTATTTATTCTATTAAATCTTTTTTATTTTACTTATTATTATTGTTTCACTTCTCTTAAATTAACTTATTTAATTTTAAATTATTGTAGTTGAAACTAATTGTTAATTTAATTTCATTTTATTGTATTATAATTTATTTTATAATAATTTATTCCATTTTAATATATTATTCGGCTCATTACATTGTTTTTAATTTATTCTCTTTTTAAATATTGTTTTAATTTAACTTTATTTTTTTAATTTGATTTTTAATTATTTTGCGTTGGATCTATTTTTTATTTAACTTGATTTTATAATATTATATTTATTCTTGTATGTTACTTTATTGTATTTTATTTCAATTTATTTTAGTTTTAATTATTATATGTAATTTCATTTTTTTTTATTTTATTCTTAATATTATATTTATTTTATTTTACTTTACCTAATGGTTTTTAATTTTTACTGATTTTATATCATATTTATTTATTTTGTTTTATTTCATTTTATTTTATTTTAATTTAACTAATTCTTTTTATATTCATTATTTTATTTTAGTTTATTTTCTTTTAATTAATTTTGTTCTATTTCATTTTATTTATTTTATTTTTAGTTTTAAGTTATTTCATTCTTTTTTTATATTTATTTAATTGGTTTTGTTATATTCTACTTTTTTAAATTTTCTTATTTAGTTTTCTTGCTTTTATATTACTTTGTTTTAATCCGCTTGTTAAATTTAGTTTTTTATTTTAATTTTATTCTATTTACTTAAATTTATTTTATTTTCATTTGATTGATTTTGCACTAGTTTACTTTGACTGTATTTAATTTTTTTTCTATTTAATTTAATTTTAATATTTTTTATTTTTTATTTTTGTTTTATTTGATATTATATTAATTTTATATTTGATTGGACTTTTATTTAAATTGATTTTGTTTTCATTTAGTTAATTTTTCGTGAGGTGATTTTATACTTAATTCAATTAAATTTTGTTTTATTTTCTAAGGTTTTATTTTAATACTATTTTATTTTAATTTATTTTACTTTATATTTTTCTATTTTTAATTTTATTCTCATTTATTATGTTTTTTTTACGTTTTAATTTTTTTCAATTTATTTTCTTTTACTCTATTATTTTTCATTTTATTTTGGTTAAATATTTTTTATTTTATTTAATTTGTTTCTTATATATTATTTTATTTTAATTTCTTATATATTATTTTTGGCTAGTTTTAATTTACTAAGTTTTCATTTTAGTTTAGGTTTTTTATTTTACTCTTTTCTTTTATGTTTCATTTATTTTTATTTATTATATTAGTATTTATTTTATTTTTTTATATTTATTTTTTATTTTTGTTTCATTTTTATTGAGCTTATTTTATTTCATTTAATTTCGTTTGATTTTGCTTTATTTTACTCTTTTATTTATATTTATATGTTTATTTTAATTTATTTTATTTTTTTATTTTATCTTCAGTTTTTTTTTTATTGAATTTAATATATAAATATAAATATAGATTATATTTTGTTTAATTTTGTTTTATTTTAATCTGATTTTCTTTATTTAATTAGATCTAATTTAATGCTATTTTGGGTCTAGGGTATAAAAACTCGTTAATCTTGGAAATCTTTTTGAAATTTTACTTAAGTCAAGATTGAAAGCAGTTACCACTATTGCTACTGGACTTTCAGCAAAAAAAGTGTGCCTTAAATCAATAATGAGGAGCTATTTAAAGGTCAGATTTCTTATTTATCTGACCACTGATCTTCGTGACAGATATCTCTTTCTTTTTAGTTTGATCCAAAGGTAAATGAGAGCGTGAATACCCTAACCGATGGACTGCAAAGTCCATATCTTAGTTGTGTTCCAAAAAGTAGTAAATTGGAAAAAGTAAAGGAGATCGTAGAATGAATACTACGAGCGGGAGCTGAGCGAAGGTGGAGATCTGTAAAAGTCTCTATGAGAAAAAGGGAAATTTGTTCATTTAAACTTTTTTTAGTTTGCTTTCGTTTGTTATTTTTTTATTTTATTTGTTTTCTATTTTATTTCATTTATTTAAATTCATTTTATTTATTTATTATATAATTTATTTACATTAATTTAATTTGATTTTATCTTTGATTTTAAAGTATATAAGTATTGTATCTATATGAGACCCGCTTTTTCGATTCCGTTCTCATTAATGGACGAACAGTTGATGATTTTCTTTTTGGTTGATGCATTTTTGTGAAACAGTTAGTTTACCTTTTTATAAATAATGAAATTTCAATTATTATTACTACAGTTTGGAAAGGAAAAAATCATTTATTGATTTTGGAAGACATTATTTTCAAAAATCTCTAGCATGCTATAGGAAATGGATAGCTTTGAACTATTATATTGAGATTAAAAGTGAACCGTTAGATTTTACATTTGTAGCCTATTTTTGTTATCCTCTCGATTATTTTTATAAATGTTTTTAGATAACTTTGGATAACAAATATAAACTATTTCATAAGCGAACCGGTTTTATTTTTTCAAGTCTCGCCCATTTAGACACAATTTCGATATCTCCCGACCTTAATTTCTTTACTCTTATATAACGAAGAGATCACTACAGCTTGAAGAGTTTCTACGTCGCATATTCACTGCCTTCTTGAACTTCAACACCGATGAGAGAAACACTTTTGTACGATTCGTTAACTTCGATACTGTTTTGCGATTACTCTCGTCCAGCAATTGATCGTTGCTCTCAGTACAGTTGTTATCGTTGGTCGAACCATCACTAACACAACGTCTGGCCCCAGTAAAGGCACCGATGGCACTACTCACAGCACCACCGCTATAAAAGCGACGACTTTTCGGTGACGAATTCAAACTGCCTTTGCCACCCGACATAAGTAAATCAAATTTACTTAAAGGTCTTGCTTGCTGTTGTTGTTGCTGTTGTTTAAAAGGTGCGGCAAGTCGTTGTGTCGCTTCCTCCTCATCTTCCAATTCACTCTCACCCATCTTAAGAATGCTTTCCAAATTTAGTGTACGTTTGTTTGTGCGTTGTACATAATGTTTTGTGGTTGGCATTTTAGTAGGTATGCCACCGGTGGAGGAGAGGCTTGTACTCACGGTACGATCACTGCCGTTGCCAATGCCTTCATCAGCAATGGGTTGATTTTCATCAGCAATTTCGGCACCACCAGCTCTATTGGCCGTTCCGTTGTTGTCGTTATCCAGTGCATCATCGTCATCGTCTTCAGCATGATACATGGATACTTGTCGCACCATGCGACGTGGTGCTATATGCATATGACGATGTTTTTGTATCGCACTTTGTAGACTAAGGCGTTGGCGATCACGTTCGCTCAGATTACGTATACGCTGTGGATTCAATTTGGACTGTGCTACTATACCGACGAGCAGCTCGTTAACGTTGTGATCAAGTCCCGACGAGGTTTCGATAAATTTGCAACAAATCTCTTTTGCAAGTTTCCGACCAGCTGAAAGTAGAAGTTTGAAAGGAAATGAATTTTAAAGCAGTGAGTGCTGAAAATATCGTAAAATGATAGATATGGAAGGGTAGAGGGATGACTTTACAGTTATGTAGATTAAGCTAGCTTTAACCCGATAAATAGGCATATGCTTGCAGTAGCTATAAAGCACAACTGATCAAGAATGAGTTAAGCTTCGTCTCTAAAGACTGTTGAACTTTAGCCAGATCTTCATACCACCCGTGAAAAGATTAAGGCAGTCTCCAGAATGGCTAATATTTCTAAATTAAGACGATTTTTCACAATGCCTCTGAAACTGTAGCCGATCAGAGACGGTCATTAGGAAGGCAAGTTTTGCCAAATCAATTCGAGTTTTTCACAGTGCCTCTCATTCTGTTTTTACTGCATCACTCTTATCATGAGCGACAACTGGATGAAACGAAAACTGAAACCACTACTGAAACCAGAAAAAACATCCATCAAAGTGGACCATATCTAACAATATCTCTGCTTTCTTTAGTATAGACGTTACATAAGTTATTCCTACGCCCGGTCTTTACATTTTATATGAGCTCAGTATCATTTTAGCATGGTTTTTGATACTCAGATAAGTCAATCAAAACAAATTCCTCATAGAAATATTTATCAAACTACCATAAGAAAGCAAGGTTTGAAAAAACTTTAGGAATGGTACCGTTTATATGATTAAGGACTGTAAAATATGTGCCAGCATTTCTCTAAGACCCACGCCTCTTTCGATTTTTAGAACCAAATTGCTTACAATTCTCTTTTGGAGCAGATTTTTTAATGTAGTGGCCCTCAAACTGTAGTGTATACCTTCACATTATATTTCGTCTCCAAATAGGTATTATTTGTTGGCCTCAGCTGTTGTACCATATGTAAAACAATCCTTTCTGGCTGCTAGCTAAGCTATCAACTTTGGTCGAATCATAATTGCACAACAGGCCGTATATGGGATTCAGTGAGGCAATATTAATCTGCTGCAGTGACAAATTATAGCTTCATGAAAATAAACAGTGATACTAAATGATAAAGAGAGTCCGTCATACCCTCACTGACTCACCATAAAAGATGACTACAGATTTGGAGCTCTACTCATTGTAGATGAAAAGCTCGTAATCAAAGCACAACTGAGTTCTGGATATTTTTACAGGTTAAACTACTGGTGCTTATCTTGAACAGACTTACATATACCCAAGGTAAGTTTCTCCCACATAGCCATCACTTTACATGTTCTGTAAAACAGACTGAGGTAAAAACTTTTCGTAATAAAACCTTTATTGAGTCTGCCATTGGAAGACCACCATTAAATCACTAAGTTTTACTCGCTCTAAGCCATTCGATTCAGCAGCAAACAATGAGTATTTGCGCCATCTGTATCCAGCTTTTTATGAGACCTTCAATGATGTAAGAGCTTATTAGTTTGAAAGTTCACACAAATCGATCCATAAATATGATTACTTCGGATAGGTCGGTCCAGAAAAACATTTTCTACATGCTCTGACTGAAATCATTCTCTAAAGTCTCTCAAGGACTTTTATACTCGTATACAGCAAAAATGGCAAAAAGTTACATTATTGCTAAATGCAAATTTTTTTTTACTGAAATTTGTTCAAAATCAAAACAAAATTGCACTAGACTTGCTGCAGTAGTATCTCTTCCGTCTGTGTTGCAACAGCTGCAGAAAAACGAACCCTATGGAAAATGCAAGAAGGAGGGCAGAAAGTGGCAGTGATTTCAAATGTTTCCAATATTTCTTGGAAGAAAGTCTACAACGCAATTAGTGGTGTATTGACCAAAAGCGAAATTCGAATGCCATGGCCTTGAGAGACGGCTCCACGTTCGGATGCAGCTTTTATAAGAATAATAAAAAATAATCCATTCTAGTCATCGCATCATCAAACAGGGTCACTCACAGGTGATGAACAAAATTCTTTTAACGCATTTGCAGGCAAAACCCATTTCTGTTCAAAAAGAGCATTGTAAAGCGATTGACTTTCGCTAGAGCCCATCTTCAAAAACGTATTGTTGAGTGACGAAAAGAAAATCAACACGTTAGAACCAGAGGGCAGGAGTCTTGTTCGTTATCCCAAACGCCAAGAACATAATCTCAGATTCACTCAGAAGACGACCAGACACGGGGGCGGAAAACTTGTGGTGAGGGGTATATTTTCTTGGCAAAATTGGTATGTTTCATTATTTGCTCATCTTTAAACACCATAAGTCTTCGATAGCATGCCATCGAAATGGAATTTTATTGCGGACAATGACCCCAAGCACTCGTCCAAATCAGATATTAATTAGTTGAGTGGGGAAAGATCGATATTTGAAATTGACCAGCCCAGAGCTTTGACTTAAATAAAGTCAAGATTGAAGGTCACAGGAAAAAGAAAATTGTGAAAAATTGGAAGATAATTCGTCTACCGTTGTGGATGCTTGGCATGCCATATCTAAAGTCAAGTGTTCAAAACTCGTGAAAAGTATAAACTGCGGATGTGAAGCTGTTATTGAAAATAAAGGCTGTAGCGCAAAATACTATAGATTAAAATGTATATAAAGGAAAAACTTGCAAAATCACATTTTTACTCAATTTCTGCCTCTTTTCATATTTCCATGAATTCTGTTGTGTTATCAATGAAGTCTAACCTGAGCTTTTCTTATTACTTAAGGTGAAGAGTAAACCTTAGAATTACACTAAAAACTTATTGGTTGATGATATTTTTACCGACGCAAAAGCATAAGAAAGTCGACTTAAAAAAATATGCCATTTATATGTCCATTGCTGTATATACAATAGAAAAACTCTGATTCTTCTTGAATTAAAACTGTCTTACATTTTTTTAGAACTTAAATTCGTTTTAATGTCTCCATGCACTTAAGCCATACTCACCTTGCCGGTTAACCTCACGATGTCGCTCTAAATCCGTTTTATTGCCAACTAAAATAGCACCACGTGTCAGCAACATTTCATGCTCTTTCAAATATTGCAAAACCTTTTCAGCTGCTTTAAAGGAATTTCTATCCACAACTGAGTATACAACAACAAATAAATCGATGTTGTAAGTCGAACAAAAGGCTTCCGTCTAAATAGTGTAAGGCATGAAATAAAGGAAAGAAAAGGGGAAATAAAGCAAAGTAGAAAAAAGTAAGTCCAATAACAATTGAACAATGGTATTGACTAAATACTTATGTAATGCACATAAAAGAAAGGGATAATTGATATTAATGTACATTTTATGTCACCAGTCACTGATTAAATCAAGGAATTAATATATCAGCAGAGGTTTATGAGTATGAGTATGAGTGTGTGTGTGAGCTAATGAGTTGGCAGTTTCTCAGTTTGCCGTAAGCTGATAATGTAAATATACTTATTATTACAAGTTCATTCATAAATAAATTAAACTTTCTTTTCCACAATACAAGCATGTCTTTGGGTGAGTATTGGCGCTTTTATCGCATTCATGTCACACATTGTGTTAATGACATTCGATAGAAGCACAAATGTCTCACATTCACACACACACACACACACACACAGCTACGCATACAAGTCCAACTCTTAAGTGCATAAATGTCATATATGTATGTATGTACCTAGAAGTTTATTGTTTTGCTAAATTGTTAGAATGTTAGTTATCATGAAGTGTCAGCATCATGTCCTAGATTTGTAAGTATGCACACATATATGAATATATAGAAATAAGAATATATATTTGTAAGTACAGTGAAAACACTTCAACTTTGCAGGTCACCATCTACATCGTCGCCAGCATCTAAAAATTCACTCAAGTGAGAACTTGACCTACTCAGCTCAACACCATTAAGCGGCAATTCAACAATGCAATGCTGACAATTACCCACTCCACATAGCCATACATATAATAAAATACATGAATACCCGTCAAATGGTGTCATTGGTTGGTTCGTAGGTATGCGATGTCCGGTTAGTGTGAAAAAGCTACTTACCGACATTTCGCAAGCAGGATGATCGATAATTTCCAAGTCCGTTTCAATGCCGTCAACAAGCACAGATACTGTCTTTTGACCGTAATCGTCATCTGTAAATGATAAAGGGAAGAGAAAAAAGTGAGCAAAGTAAAGTATATTTGCGATTTCTCGAGGCTCTTCTTCTTCGAAATTGGAAGAGCTAGTACGTATAGTAAGAAAATAAAATAACCTAAAATAAAATAAAATAAAATGAAATAAAATGAAATAAAATAAAATAAAATAAAATAAAATAAAATAAAATAAAATAAAATAAAATAAAATAAAATAAAATAAAATAAAATAGAATAAGATAAAATAAAATAAAATAAATTAACTAAAAAAAATTAAGTAAACTAAAATAAAATAAAACTTAATAACTTAAAACCCACTTGAATAAAATAAAAAGGCAACAGTTTCTTTCCTCTAGTTATGCAATTTTTTGAACACACCTCGTCTATTTGCTACCAATGAATTTTCGCCAAAGACCATAACATCCAAATTAAAAGAATAATTCTCTAACTTTTATCCATTTAATATAAATATTTAAACGTGACCCACAATTATAAATTTTAACGGTCATTTGTTTCATAGAAATGCAAAAAATAAAATGTGCCTAATTTGCTCATAGTATGGACAGTAAAACTTTTATTACCATAATGCGACAAACTAATCTCAATTTATTTTCCACTAAATGCGTGTACAAGGTAAAAATATACATTTATACCAACATACATATGCGCTGGTAAACCTCATTTATTACACAATCATTAAACGTTGTTAAAGCCAGCTCACTCATGCCAATATTTTTATAAGGCACTTAACGGACGTTTTATGTTTGTTTATACAATATAACGAGGATTTTCCATCTAAAGACGTTTATAGGGAACGAAAAATAAATGAGGCTGTCAACGAACATTAATTATTTTTGAAATTTGAGCAGATTATTCGGTGCATTTTTTTTTTAAATTTAAATTAATACTTTAATGTTTAAACATTAAAATTTGGATTTTTTGGGAAAAGTTCAATTTCACTTAAGGCATAACTTTGAATTCATTAGCAGAGAGAAAGGAACGCAGGTAACACCCCTGACAAGTGGCGAAATCGCCAAACTATTATAATAGTAATTATTTTAACACCTGCGAGCATATGTACATATGAATGTGGGTAAGCCAGTGCGTACCTTTTTACTCACGTAAAGTTAACTTTGGAGGCACACACTCTGCGCTGATGACATACACATAAGGCTCAATTTGTACATACGTGTATGCATCTAGAAGTGTTTCTGGTAATTTCTATACATATTCCATTGGCATTATACTAATTTGAAAAGTTCGTAATTCCTTTGTTGAATATCACGACAGCCTGCTGTTCAAGTTGTCTTATTTCGGCTTGATTACTTTGAGGTGATTTGAACAAATGTGGGTGCTCAGCAATACATAATTGCATATTGGGAAAGTTCTCTAAGCACTTACTGTGTTATTATTTGAAGCTGTGGAAATTAAATTGCTTTTCTTGCAGCTGGAATCATTTTCATAATTTACACACTAATTATGTTTCAAACTTTTGAATACTATTATAGCAACTAGGGCAATAGTTTGGGCTCTTTGCGTTGTTATGCCTTAAAATCGCACTCTTCGTGATCTGATATAGAATATTAATGCTGAATTTTTAGTAGGGTTGTCAAAAAGGTGGAGCTAAAAATCTGGAAAACCATAATTTTGCAGCGCTCAAAACAAACCGAATTTAGATTACGATTAAATCAATCAATTTCACAAGAGTCTAATTATTTTAATATTGGAAAGTGATATTTTTTCCTCTCTCAGTACAGGAATGTCTCATAATAATTGTCTCATAATCATTGCGTTTTAACATGCGGAAGACCATGGTTTAAGTCCTGTCGCGAGCAATATTTAGAAAGTTAAATTTTCTAATTGCGGTGGCTCCTCTTCCGGGTATGACTAGCCCTCTGAGTGTATTTCTGACATGAGAATAAAAGCCTTCGGAGGCGTCTTAGCAGCTTATTAGGAGGGAAAAAAGTGCAAAAAAGCGTCTAACTACTCAAGCATATGGATCGATTACAGATATTGTAAGGCCTGCGTATCATCGATTTGCTTCAAATATCGCTTTCGTCGTTTGGGTGCTTGACCAACAAAGAATTGGCGGCGATTTTTCAAACAAATTTTCCGCTCAGCGCCGTGCCGCATTTCTCACTTGGGAGATACGTAAAGAATCTCCAAATAATAGAAGAGAAATCATTACACCCAAGAAAAAGCTTACTCTCCGACTCGCTCATTGGTCCGGAGCGATGTCAATCGGACACCGAGATAGTGCGATTTGGCACCGTTGGATTATTTTTTTGTATTTAATGTGGATAAACTTTTAACGTTCGTGGACTTGAAAACCAAAGTTTGTCAGTTATGGCTGGGATACCCTCCAATATTTGTCGAAAAGTGGGGAAAAGTTACCTTCATGGCAGTGCCCGGTTATTACACCGGTTTTTGTGCTCAACAAAGTGCTGATTAGAACCCTTAATCATAGGGACTCCTCTCTTCTCTTTTTATAAAACAATCCCAATTGCTAACGCTTGCTGTTAGAGAAACCATTTTATGCCGCAACGAAAGAACCGATTAATGCCGTTCTCAGGGCTGGGCAGTAGTAGAACTAGTGTTCTACCGACTCCTCCTCGTCTATGGTTCTGCCATTAGAGAAGTATTTCATACTCCATGAGTCTCCATGACAGACAGTGTCCGGTTATCACGCCGGTTGTTCTTCACATGGTAGTGCTGGCTAAAATAATAAAGGCTCAGTTCTATTTTCTCAGATCCATGGCCGAATCCTTATCCTTTACATTGCATGTGGTTTGACCCTGTCGAGGAAAGAGGTATGCTCACAGCGTGTACAGAGCTTACCGTGGTTAAAGCTATTTTCTTACGAGCTGACTCATCGGCCTCGCAATTATCTGGTACTCAAACTACAAACGTTTCCCAAGTGATTCAGAGTAAACTTCGCTATCGAGTTTCGAGTCGTCAGTAAAGTGGTGTAGACCACCTATTTCGAAAAGGAAGTTGGAGGCAGTTATGACCGAAATTTAATGGTATTGATCTAGACAACGTTTGCCTTCAACAAGTTGACTATACGTGTCACACAAGCAATGAAACCGTTGATCTCTCAAGACGTCAGAGAGGGAATTCGTCAAACAATTGAGTGCGCAGCACCACTTTGAGATTTGGTGATGGAAAATTTCATGTCAGGATGTCAAAAGATAAGACTATACTCATTAAACCAACAACAACGTTAAATTATTTATTTGGTAACACTTTCATCTTACCGTAATTTTCAAATTAAAACAAATATTTTTTTTGTTTCATTCACGCCGTAATGTTCACTGTAAGTATGTATGAAGATAAGCCTATAATTATAACACTTAAAATGCCAAGCTCACCCACACAAATCGAAAGGAAAGCGTTAACTGGCTACACCAACACACTTACCCTACTACAAACCAATTCATCACTTACCCAAACTCAGGTCGTAGGCACAAATATAATCGGATGTTGTAAATTGATAGGTTAATGTCGTTTTACCAACACCAGAAGCGCCAAGCATTGCAATTTTATAGGCGGGTATCGGCACTTTGCTGGCATCCTGTTTCTCTGTAGACTCAAAAATATTTTCGCCGGATATATGTGATGCATTGCTGTGGTGGAAAATGGCAGAGAAGGCAGAAGTGGAATAAATGGTTGTAAGTGTAGAGAAAGAAATTTAATTTTCTGGTGTTAATAATATTAAATGGTGATTGAGTTTTTCTAAAACAACAGTAAGTAACGGTATATAGCCATCTACATATACAATATATGTATGATATATGAAAAACAAAAGCGACACAACACCAATGACGTTTCCACGTATTACAACAAAGCATAATTGTGTTAATAACAATAACAAAAACAATCTACAATTTCATTAAACGCACCTGTTGTTCCGATGGTCCTTGCCGCTATTCGAAGTGCCCGTCGATGTGACTGAATTGATTGAACGTGATCGGCGGCTTCTGAGCGAATAGCAGGTGTAACCAGATGAGATAATGGACGTCACGGTAGATGACAGGCAGTCAAGTGATGATTTGAGTAAGTGTGTTGGGGAAAATATGGGGAAAAAGTATGGAAAGATAAAGCAAGCAAAACAGCGTTAAACGGGGAATAGCAAAAAGTTAACTGATATAGATATACATATGTATGTATATACGAGTATGTATATAAAATGTTTAGTTTAATGTCTAAGTAGATATATATATATATATATATATAGCTAGATTTATGTAGCTCTCTGCCATCTGTTTTGCTATGAAAATACTGCAGGGATTTAAATATTTAATTTAAACTGAACTGACATGAATATCCTTCACGTCAACCGCAAGTCGTTCATCTATGTAGTCTAGCCATGTCTGTTGCATGGACACTCCGCTTTCATAGTTGTGTAGCCTGTACATACACACAGGTAACGGGTGTTCCAAGTGGATATACTTTTTGACACTGAGTCGTCAAGTCAAGCTGTCAGGATATTTTTGTTTAGTATGGTTTGGCGGCCGCGTTAGTCGAGTGGTTAGCATTGCGTACTGACATTCGGAAGGCTCGGGTTCAAGACCCCGTGCGACCAATATCCAAAAGTTATAGATCTAGCATATATTATTGAATAAAAATCCACCAAATAGACCGCGTCCTGCACGAAGTGAAAAGATTATAGCGGACGTAGCTGAGAGTGTACACAAATACCTTGGAGTGTCGATTTGGCGCCGTACGCTGCACCACGGACTGAACTATAAATGACGGGCTTCAAAGCAAAGACTAAGTTTCCTTCGGCTTGCTGTTTTAGACTACTTTCTGGTCTGGGTTCCGACGTTGTTCTACGATGAGGACCGTCTCCGGCTCTATGGATATGTAAACAAGCGAAATTGCTGCATTTGGGACAAAGAACAACTTCAAGAGATTCAAAAGCTGCCATTTCATTCAGAAAAAACAACGGTTTGGTTTGGTTTGTGAGTTGGTGGAATCAACGGTACACATTTCTTCAAAAATGATGCCAGTTAGAACGTCACCGTCAAAGGCGCCATGATAACCGACTATTTGATGCCCGAAATTTAAGATCGCGCACACGGCAACATTTGGTTGGTTTCAACATGATGGCGCCAACTTAAGAGAACACCACGTTTTGAGTCGGTCGATTGGCCAACAAGATCGGTTAATATCACACCGTTAGACTTTTTCCTGTGAGGATATGTTAAGTCTGCAGCCAAAGCGGATAATTCCGCTTCGATTCAGACCTGGGATCAAAACAACATGCGTGTCATGCGCCAGTTATCATTCGAATTGCTTGAACGAGTGATCGAAAATTGGACTCAACGGATGGACCAACTGAGACTTAACCGCGGCCAACTTTTGAAAGAGACAGTCTTCTTCGCTATTAAATCTGAATTTCTTGTGGTTTTTCTTTAAAAAAGTAGTGAACCTTGAAATGGATCACCCTTTACGTATACCTGTACACACACACACACAGTAGTACAAACCATATTTCTTTATAAAAATGAATGTTATATTTTTATATCTGGTCTGGTTGGTGCGCCTCACCACCCACTTCTCCTACGCCGTACGCTTTGTGCCAACGTGTCTAACGTGTCAGCTGATGGATATTGTACATCTTGCATATACATATCCATATGTACATACTCGTACATAGATAGTCGAGTGTTTACTTACCGCAGGGAATCACCCAAATTGCATACACCATGCGACGTGATGCTGAAACTCCGCAAGCGATAATATTCCAAATCGAGGTCGGCACAATGTATTGCCGCACGTCGCGTATCGGCGAGACGTGGCTGCAAATAAATTGTATATAGAAAAAAGTAATAATATATATGTACGTATATGTATATAAGTACATAAGTAGATTGAGAAAAGAGCCGTGTAAAAGCATTGAATGAAATGACATTAAAATGAAGCCGCAAGTGGCATAACTAAATTGAGTCTCACAGTTGAGATGAACTCGAAAGTGTGTGATAATAAAATAAAATATAACAAAATGAATAAAGTTGCAAAAAAAAAGTGCATAAACAGTTGTTGGAAATTGACTCCGACATTGGTCTCTTCATGTGGCAAGGTTTGTTTTGCTTCTTATACTCTTTGTTTGTGATTGTTGTTGTTGGCAATAAAAAAGCAGACTATATAATGAGTTTTCATGTGAAAATATTATGTTCTTTCATATTTTACTCTATTTTACTTGTGACCATTGAAATTGATTGAAAATAATAAAGACAGTCTTTGATATGCTTGAGAGTTAGCGTGAAAGATGGCTACGATAGTCGAGTGTCTACTTGTACATAGCAAAATGAGCTATGTGTGAGAAGCTCATTGGTAGTAGTCATCATGAGAGTGACATCTAAAATGATTTTCCGAATGCGTTCGCCAAGTATTTGGTCATTGACCTAGCGCCGTCTAAGTTCTCACTAAAACGCGTGTTTGAACCTTAAAAATATGGATTTCCAGCTGCTTGGCTCAGTTTTGTACCTGCTTAGAGTGAGGCTTCAATGAATTCAAAGCTTTGGCCCCCAGTCAGCTCAACAATAATATAGAAATCAAGACAATCATTTGGGCATTTACCTTTCATTGCTGACAACGCTAGCAATACGACCTAATCACTGCACCACAAAATACAATAGTAAGAACAAGAAAGAAAAGCTGTCTTAGGCCATGCCACCTTTTTTCCACGAGAATCCCAAACAGAAATGAATAAGAAAATCCCAAACGTGGTCGATCAGAAAGCTATAGCCATCTTTACAGACAGCCCAAAGCTCAATGAAAATGTGGGCTGTGAAATCCACTCTTCGATGCTCGCAATAAATTTGAGTATGAGACTATAAGACCACTGTAGCGTAGCCCAAACAGAACTCCTTGCAACCATGGTAACCGTCGAGCCGCTGCTCAAATCTACAATACGATCGCAGAACAATCACTTACGATATATTTCGACAGTCAAGCTGCCATCAGATCAAAAAAGTGGCTTTAAAATGTAGAAGGAATCCAAACAAACTCTGAACTAAATGTAACACTGCAGTGGTCTGGGTACCCGGACATAGTGATAACTCAGGCGATTGCATGGCAGACGAACTAGGGAGAGCAGGAACCCTTCTAATCGCAATGAAACATGCACACGATGTAGGTTAACCTTTGGTCATGCAGACTCTCAAACTACAATGGCTACGAGTTTGTCTTCCAAGCAAACATTTTGAGCTTTACTCAAGCTGCCAACTGAACTACTGCTTTAATGGGGAAACCTTTTTGGTAGGTAAAGTGGAATTGGCTGAGTGCAGAGTATGCAGACAAGACGACGAAACGCTAGAGTATACCTTGCGGGGTAGGGGCTCAAGAATTTACCCGCGGTAAGGCATGCCTGTCATAAGAGGCGACTGAAATCCAATAGTTCCCGCGACAGTAGGATATTCATACCGGAACGACCCGGATTTTTATTCGGCCAAGGATTGTCACTCCCGCAATATTTCCGAAAAAATACTTTGGGGAATATTTTTTGCGGTTATAACAACAACAACAACAACAACAACGAAGACGACAACAACAACTACAATGACAACAACAACAACGAAACGCTAGAGTACTAATTTTACGATTGTGTTGAGACGCCACACCTTTCAAGGTGTACCTAGATCCAGTTTTACGGCGATGGACAAACGTGATTAGAGGATATTAAATCAGTTTATTACATCGAGCTAAATGTTCGCAAAAGTATAACTGGCTTAAGCGGGGAGGCACCATGAGTTTACTTAATTAAGGTAAAACAACATTTTTCATGATATTCTTTTAAGAGAAGGAAAGTCGAAAAATTAGTACTGTCTGAAATTGTGGCGGTACGCAGAAGGAGTACAGATTAGCAATGAACGAGCTGGAGAGATTTTCAGACGAGAGTGAAATCGAAAGTACATTTTTTTTAAGTGGTTGTGACCATGCGAAAAGTGTATTTCACTTGAGGGACACTAAATAGAAGAACAAAAAACATAAAACTTATCAATCGGCCCTCATATATGCATGCATGAGAAAGTCTTTAGCACATCTATGCTGCGGTATTTTTTTATAAGTAAAATATTATAAATTTATAAATTCATAATTTTCCCACCGAGCTGTTGGCGGGCTTAACTGAAGCCTGCCAAGTATTGATTTAAAAAATAAAACAACTTTATTTATCTTCAAAGGTTCGCTGACCTGAAAACGTAGATTGCCAAAGAAAGTTTGTGGATGAGTGAATACATAAGCGAGTTTTGATGAAGAAACCCGAAAGAAACACTATTTTCAGCTAAACATAAATGCAGGCTTTATACCCTTCACGAAGTCAAGCTAATTTATGTGGCTCGTCCTAGAGCTGACATTTCTCTAATTTATGGCTCGGAATTTCAACGTAAATCAGTTAAAAGTAGAAGAGTTTGCTAAATTTGAGAGAAAGATAAAAAGATGGAAATCTGTTCATCATTTTGAGCATTTATTTTGATGAGTCTATATATTCTTCTGCTCTGTATGCGTGAAGGGTATACAATGAAGTAAAGATAAAGTCAAACAAGTTGGCTAAGGAAAATATATGCTTGTACTTGTGTATAATCGTATGTAGATATATATATATTTGTGTGATGAGAATTTTATACTGTAAAGTTTGGTAGTTTATTCACATACGCATAGTTATATCAACAAACAAATATAGCATATATATGTATGAATCTCCTAACGATAATACATATGTACATATGTATGTATATGGAAGCATTTGTAGGAGCGTGTATGCTGAAAGTTGAGCGATTTATTCAAGCGGCAGAGATTGCCGTCAGTTGGGATTGATATTACTGCGAGCTCAACCGAATGAGTTTCACCGAAAAACACCGAAATAAATTGGTAAATATTTTAAATATAGTAAATATATAAATTTACACAGTAACAGTTTGGAGGAGTACATAAATTTAAAGCGATGCTGAATTTGTGAAGCATGGATAATAAATAGGAAAATATTTTTTCTCAGAAAAAAAGGAGTGAACCATCTCTTGGAGAGTTCAGAGAACACACGTATATATATATATATATATATAAGGTTGTCAAATATCTCCCTTCCGCTTTTTTGTCTTTTGAATTTCGCGGCNAACAGATTATCGAACAAAACGGTGCATATTTTAACTAAATCCGATCACTGTAACACTTTTTATAAAGCATTGAATGAAGAGCAAAAAAGCGGAAGGGGGATATTTGACAACCTTTATATCTCGCATATGGAAAACTTAGTTTTGTGTGGAACAGAACATTAGATTTGATATTTGTATAGCATCAAGGTCCATCAAAAAAAGAGGTCAAATTCTATGAGAGGCAGGTTTATTTCTCTCCGTCTCATATTTTTCCATTTAATGCTGTCGGACAAGTTTTCCACTTCTATGAATGGACTAGCTGATAAACTGATCTATATCACTGAGTGTATTACTTGCAACTGTTGTTGGTGAGGGTCATTTGAAAGATGCTATGACCCATCAATATATCGAACCGAAAAGCTAGGAAGTGAAATTGACCACTCGGACAAATTCAGCTTGAAGATTCGCTGAAGTCGAGTTGCATCATTTGTTCAGCAGAAATTCGGTTGGGAGTGGCTGCGGTCTTGCAGCAAGCGAGGTTAGAGCTTAGAACTCATCAGCCAGCTCTAATGAAAAATAGGCAACATTGCAAACTTATTAAGGACTTAATTGGGAAAGTGACAGTGGCCCAGCTGCTTGATGTCTCCTTTAAAAGTGAAGCTGACATCCCCGTCATCCAAAAAATGTGTTGAACAAAACAATTATAGAGGAAAATAGGTCGTTGAAAACTTTATGGCCATATAAAGGAGCCCAACTTTCTTGTTACACAAGTACTACAAGACTACGAGTACCATCCTTCACTCCGGTGGGCGAACTTCACACCGCAATCCGTATCATAGTGTAGTTGTTTAACTCTGCGCTGGGCAAAGATGGCGTCTTTGGTACACCACTCGTAAATTTCTGCATCCACGACGAAATATATCGAGCCGGCTGAGACTGATCGTCTTAGGCAGTGCTCGAAATATGGTCATCTGTAATACTAGATTCTGATAAAAAAATAAAACCATTCAGATACTTGGTTCTCACTGGATTGAAATGAATCGCATCTACAAACAGGGCAAAAGTGGGCAAGCGGTCGCGAACTTTCCATACCGTGACACTGAGAGTGGAAGAGGGAAAAGAGACTCATTTGAAGACAAGAGAAGCGAGCGTATGAAATGCGTGTACATATACAACTTGTTCTTGGCAACAGATGCAACTTTGGGCTGAGTATGCAATTGGAAAGTTAAGTCTTCTTTCCTCAAAGACCAAACTCTTCAAAACGATAATCATTCCCGTCTTGATGTATGGTGCAAAAGAAGGGACGTCAGAACTCCAAACTTTAGGAAGGATGAGATTGACAAGGGCCTGCCTTCATTGCAGTCACTAATTGGCGCCAAAGAGTTAAACTGAGCAGAAACTGTTGTTAATTCGACTATAATCGCGTAAGCGGTGCCCACATATTTTCTTACTGTCGAAGGCTACTCTAAATCGAGGAGGTGGTAATGAGTGTGGATTATCTTTTCACGAATATTTTCCAAGTTTGCCAGGTCTGAAGCCACGCTGACTATTTTTTTTTAACTTCAATTCCAATATTCAAAATTTAAAACTACTGTGTTTTGAATTTCTAGAATTAAAAATATATATGCATGTACGAGTATTTTATGATTCAAAAATGAAGAACTAACTTCTCTTAAGCTCCCACGGCAGCTTGAAATGTTCATTATTTATCATTCCACCAGCACGTGGAAACTAGAAAAACAAACAAAACAACTCTCTTCAAAGCGACAGTGAACGAGTTGCAAGTAAACCATCAGACGGCATACGGAAGCGCCGTACGCTGTGGAAGCAGTGAAGTCTTTATTGCTTTTGCATTGCTTGCTATGCTGTTCATTGCAATTGCATTGTTTTCAGAAGATATTTGCTATAAAATTTGTATTCAGGTGCATGAGAGGTTCGCCCAAGGCGACACGTGCGTGATACACCCAATGAGAAATTTAAATATCTACAAACAAATATATATATGCATATCGTTTTATAATGTGAATATTCACCATATGACTAAATATCAGGCTGAAGCAGAAGCTGGAATTCGTTAAAACAGAATGTTAAGCTTAGAAGATTTCCACGAGGCTCGAAAAATAAATCAGTTACAAAAGAACCTCCCAAGCAATCTCTCGGAGCTTCTGGCGTATCAATAACGTTGAGTGTGGTCTGGCGTTGTCCTAAAGAAATTCCCCTTCTTGTTGGCAATTGCTTTCTTCAGAGAGATTATTGACAGTATAGGTGTGAATTACGAGTTTTGCCAAAGGTCATCCATACATCGAGCTCTTTGTGTATCGTGGCTATTTCAAGTGGTTTCAAGCTGCTGTGCTTGCCTGAACCATCCTTAACATTTGAAATACCGGAACGAAATCGACGAAACCGAAACAGTTTCGGGGCTGTAAGCCCTATTCATATTCCAGCTGAATGTCAGAGCAGAGGCGTAAGATACTCTGAGAATCTTATCTCATTCAAGAGCAATAAATTACGTGTTGATTAAGTAAAAAGTTTTTTACTGGGAGCCCAAAACTTTCCTGTTATAGGTATATTTAATTCAAATATTCCGCTTAAATTGGAAATCGGAATGCGTAGAATGAATAGGGAGTGTTATATAAGCAAATAATTAAACATATTAAGCTTTTCCTAGAGGATAGAAAGGCCCATAAATAACGATATATAAATGCAATCTAACCACACACACACACATACGCACACATACAGTCCCACACACCCAAAGCCGTCCTTTGACCTCCGCATAGTGAAAACAAATTTTTCTGTTGAGAGCCTTTATTTACCTTTCTACTCTCCGCTGGCATACTGGAGGTGCGCATCCGTTGTCGCTGACGACTACCCTGCAGCTGTGCAATGGTCGCTGAGCTACTATGCAGTATATTGGAGGCAGTACGTTGAACACCACTTGGGCTCACATTTGCCACTGCGCCTACACCACCAATGCCGCTTTCGATGACATCTAAATCATACTGACTATCATTCAAACCATTGCCGTTGTTGTTATGTTGTAGTTGTTGCTGCTGCTGCTGCTGCTGCTGATGATGATGATGATATTGTTGTTGTTGTTGTTGTTGAAGTTGCATAGTAGGCGAGTCACCCGTTTGTAGCGTATCCGTATTGATCATTTCCCCAACACTTGCTGCTGTGTCCTCCAACACAGAGGCGAGCGCCGACGATGAGCCACATAGTAAATCCATATTTGTGGCAATACTGCCGCCAATACCGCCGCTGCCGCTTGCGCCGAAGAGTAGCGGTGTGGTTGAAGAATACTGTGGCGAGACAGCACCGGACATGGCCTGTTGAAAGGTGAGCACACCAGCACTACTGCCGCTGCCACTGCCACTTCCGGTGCTTTCGATGCCGATGGAGTGCAGTGAGGGTAGGCGTGTCGGTTTGCCGCTTACAGGTGATTTTGCCAACGTGATGCGGTCACTGTTAGAGCCAAAAGAGAGAAGAAGAGATAGAGTGTGTGAATTTAATTGTTAGTGGAATTGTTGATAATAAAATGAAATGAAATTTAATTAAGGAACTTCATGGTTATTGCTGGTGGCTCACTTGGATTTTAGTATTTGGTTAGGTGGCGGAAGTATAAAATTTGTTAAGCATTGTAAGGTTTATTGGTTGTGATTACTAATATGGATTGCTCAGATGCTGGCAATATAAGGATTATAGAAGTTTATTCAGTAAAGAATAGATGAGAATGTGGGGATATAAATATGAGAGAGAGGCTCAGATTAAGATGTAGGGTATGATCCTGCTACTGGATTGCACGTATTGCCTGCTCTTGGTTAGTATTGGTATGGAAAATCTAGACTGTTTTATTATTACTGGTACGAAACTCTCCTAGGGTTTCCCGTTTCTAGCCTTCAATTTCCTCCAGTGAGTACCGCCTAGTCCAGACTAAAAGGACAAATAACTAAGAGCCTCGGCTTGAAATTGTTGAAACGTACTACCAAAAGACGTACTTCAAAAGTCGCAAGAACAACTGATACCATGAGGAACGTCGAACTGCAGTGGACAGAAAATAGACTTCCTACCTCGCAACAGTGATATCGAACACAACACGCGAGGAGTGACAATGGATACCGAGAGCTGAAGTGGGAAGCAACACGCATGAAAAACTTGAGATGGTGGCAGGAAAGGGAAAAATACTGGAGCAACCTCTTGCAGGATTCAGTGGGGTGATCTAGTGACGAATGTCAAGAATATACAGAATTTAGGAAGAGAACACTGCTTCAGCCTACTGAATGTCAGTGAAAATGAAACACCTGGAGATAGTGAACCCGAAACCCCAATCGATAACTTTGGAAAAGACGTGACATTTCCCAAGCATTTCCAACGATTTGAACCGAAGTGTGCGCCAATTACCGTTAGATTAGCCTCCTCTAAAGTTCACAATCAACAAGCCGTCGAATGAACGAAAAGCTGTACGAGTTATACACTGATATTGACATACGTGTAGTTCAGCGAATCAAGAACCAGCGGCTACACTGGCTAAGTCATGTCGTCCGCATAAACGAAAGCACTCCAGCTTTGAAAGTATACGATGAAGTAACTGCTGGAGTAAGCAAAGGAAGAGAGAGACCTCTATTCAGATGGAACGATCAGGGAGAAAGCGACGTGGTATTTCCAACTAAAATTTTTTAAAAGTCACACAAACTCACGTGGTAGTTGCCGAATTAAGCTGTCTCCATATAATTTTATAATCAGCTCAAACACTGAAAACTTATTGTGCACAACTGCAGTAAGTCTTTAAAGCCACATTTAAGCAATATGCCGCAATAAATACCACTTTGTGGACGCGAAAGCGATTTTAGTTGACACACGACTCATATATGTATGTATGTACCCACTTACCGCTGTCGGTGTTTCAACAACTTACCGTTGCAATTTTTGTGAAATTTTCAAGTTTGAAGTACACTTTATTGTACAGGTTGCATGTGCAATAATACCACACCAAAGCTACAAAATACAAAAATACAATCAAATACATAAGCACATCACCCATTTTTTGTTACTCATACGCCCAGGTGGGCACTCGTACTATAAAACCAGGCAGCCTTATAGAAATTGCGTGCAACGACCAGCAATATTGTTGCCATGTTTATTAGATAGCATGAGAAAAAAGTGCTTTTCTTATGTATAATAACTGCTGGGCAAAACGCCCACGTAAACGCCCACTAAACAGGCATTGCACTAATATGGCTATTAGACAGTTTACGTGCCCAACAACAAACTAACTACATTGAGCACGTGGCCATGCGGCAACTCATGAAGCGAACACAGGAAGAAGGATTTTGGCCTGCGGTGAATATAAAGCAAAGCCATAGATTGCAAGTGCCTACTAACGAACGGATGTGAAAGAGTAATGGAAAAGAACAAGCGGTGTGGGTGACTTATGACGAAGGGAAGGGAAGGAAAGAGTATAAAGAAAAAAATTCAGTTATATCTTCAGTACGACTGGAAAGGAATCTTTTGGAAACAGTAAAGAAAGCCTATGGTAATGAATTAAATTGAATTCATCAACAGCCGAGTAGTTCATCCATTCGGTTGACGAGAGTGCCAGTTTTCTAATTGCGGTCACCCCTCGGCAGGTTATATTAAGCATCCAGCGAGAGGAGCAGTTTTAATGTGAATGCCTTCAGCGATTACAAGGCGCCAATTATGAGGTGCAATTTTTTAATTAAATTCTGAGTTTACTTCAAAATTTCAAAAAAAATTTTATTTTAAATAAAAGATTATTATTTATGTGAAATATACAAAACTCACCGTGTGCCGCTATGCGTTAAATTCATTGTACTGCCCTCCATTGCTGCTGTGACATGATGATGATTTCTTAAATTTGTTATATCGGCAAGTGTTGTGCTTTCAACGCGATTATAATCCGATGCTAAGAGATTTGTAACGATCGATGAAGAGCGTCGCCGCGTGAGCAATGGCGATTTTTGAACTCGTTTAGTCTGAAAATTTGAAAAAAAAATAAAATTAATTGAGTAATTTAGGTATATAAAATGTTAATATAATTTAATTTAAGTGCAAAAAGGTGTTAAAATAATTTACGATATTTAATTACATTGAACAATTTTATACCAGTTTCTCAAGTTTGAGGTTCTGGCATACAATATGTAATGGTCTATAAACCCGTTTTGAATTATGAAGTTGAAGTTGCGAGGAGAGTGGCTTCGTCACTTCATACTTGTATGCATGGCTCTCACTTGACTTAGCTTACTTCTTCGGGAGCTTGGAAAACTTCTGTGAAAACTACCTGGGTCCCAAAACCCTTATTGAAATAGCTGAGGTTAATCGACTTCATCGGACATTGAATACATCGGGAATAATTTCATATTGAACGACGTCCGCCGTAGTTACACTATGTAAATAGACGACCAGAAGAACGTATGAGTGCCAGGCGTTCGAGAGATTAAAGCCAATATCACTTATTGAAGAGATTTTGCTGGACACTACAACAGCTATGACTAAAAAGCCAACAACGACTTAAATTTGTGAGGAGAGCATCTACATTCTTCGAACTACAGACTTAATAAGGAGTGTAGCAAAAGTGCTGCTAAAGTCTGGTGCAAAAGTCTGAACGATGTCGTCTCTGGTAGTCTTCGAGAGAAAGGTTTTTCGAACGATTTATAGCGCCAATGCGCATTGGCTACGGTAAATACCGCAGGCGAGGGAGGCACTGTATGGGTTCTACCGTGACTTTGTTATAGTTCAGCGAATGACAAGACAGCAGTCACGCTGGCTAGGTCGTGTCGTCCTAACGAATGAAAGCGCTCCAGCATGTATTGAATGTAATCTATGCTGTACCCACTTGTGGAAGCAGAGGAAGGTTTCTACACTCTTGGAAGGATCAGTTGGATGGCGACCTGGTTTCACTTGATATTTTTGCTTGGCGCCAAACAGGGACGAAAAGGAAGGAATTGAGCGTTATTGTTGATTCGGCTATATTCGTGTAAGTGGTGCAATGATAAAGAAGACAAAGAATAAGAAGAAGAAAAAGAAGAAGAAGAAGCATAAGAAGACGAAGAAGAGTAATAAGAAGAAGAAAAAGAAGAAAGAGTAGAAAAATAAGAAGAGAAGGAACTAATGTTGCACTATTGTTGATTCGAAGACGCAGAAGATTACGCTGTCTAAGTCTTATCGTATAGATGAGTTGAAGCAAAGGGTTTTCCAATTAAAGGTGTTATTTTGAAAAACCTGCTATTCCGTTAGAAGTCACTTTTGAAGCATTGAGGTTAGAAAAATTCACTATAAAATTTCAACGAAAAATCATCTTAACTATTGAGGCCCAATTCCAGGGCTTTCTACAATATCTATAAAGTGTAACTGTTCGGTACGGTTTTTGGTCCTGCGGGCTCATTGGACCTTACTGTTTCGAAAATGAATGTAACATCAAGAGATGATTAACGATTTTTGTTGGTCGAAATTGCTTGGTGTTGATCTGGATAACAAAACGTCCCTACGTGCCACATAAGCAACGAAAATATCATTTTTTTCCAGGAGAAGTTTCTTTAAATATCAAAAAATACCTGTTATCGAAAAACCTTGTGCTAACGCTTAAGAAAACTTTCGATGAAGTATCGGCAGAAAGTGAAAGTGAAAAACCTTCACTCTGTACGAAAGATCAGTTGGAGGGGGAGCAGGCTTCACATGACTCAACTTATGGTCAACATAATCGGCCTACTGAGTGTACTATGAGGAACACAATAACCCATCTTGGGACTCAGCATTCATTACTGGTTAATATTCGACCGAATAGACAACGTCCAGGACGCAGTGAAGAAAATATAGCAGCCGTAGCTGAGAGTGTACACCAAGACCGCAGAGAGCCGATTTGGCGCCATACGCAGAAGCTCGAGCTGACGTATGGAATGAGTTGGTGTATTTTACGTCTACGATCTTAAATTACAAGCGTACAATATATAGCTTGTGCAAGAACTGAAACCGTTCGACCTTCGCTCTTGAAAAGTTCCAAGAAAATTCAACGTTTTCTAGCGATGAGGTCCATCTCCTGGTATATGGACGGTGTCAACTTCTCACACAACGCATCAATCAATGGATTTATTTCGGCGAGCAGGCAATTTCTTCTTCTGAGCCAGTCGTTTCGCCACTAAGATCGTATGATATCACACCGTTAGTCATTTTTGCGTGGGGATATGTAAAATCTCAAGTCTTTGCGGACTATAACGCCTCGATTCAGGCCTTGGAGCAAAACATTACGCGTGTCATGCGCCAGTTACCAGTCGAAATGCTCGAACGAGTCATCGTAAATTGAACACAACAGATGGACCAACTGAGACGTAGCTGCGGCCGACCTTTGAAAGAGATAATCTTCAAAAAATAAATGCCAAAGAATATGCTTCGAATGGCAGTCAACATTTCCAGTTAAATTTAAATTTTTAAGTTTTCTCTTAAGTAGTGAAACCTCGAAATGGATCACCCTATATAATGTTTTCACCGCTCTAAGATCTCAATTAAAATATTTAAATTTCACAAAATAATCATTTTTATAATTTAAACTCTTCTGCAGCTGTGTTTCACTTTCAATGGCCCAAAACTCAACGTTTTACTGTTATAAAAATTCCGCAGGATTCAGCTCACCTAAGCGTAAACTTGTTATTTGACCCAATTAATTGGCGAAACGAAATTGTATTTATGTGAATACAAAAAGCTTACTTTTCTGCATTATTTTTATTCAAAATCATATTTTGCCACCCACTTCCCTTTGCCTCCCGTCCACTTGGCTCTCTTTTGGCTTAATTCAACTCAATTCCCCACAACTTCATGCAATCCTGCGCTGACCTCGTTCACATGCAATTAATTGAAAGGGACCATGTAAATGATATCCTGGCTTAAATATACGGCATGGGTATGTATGTATGTTTATATGCATGGCACGCAGGCAACATATATTTAAATTTGTGATGCTCTAGAAATCAAATAAATCCCAAAGCCAACCGGCGTCGTTACCATGCAGCCCCCACCATCCAACTATGCCACCTCTACAACCCAAGGCGCGCACTTAGTTTCATAATTAAATATGTTTGTATGTACTTACACTGACATTGCTGCGACCCGTCGAACCCAATGATGCAGCAGCAGCAGCAGCAGCTGTAGTTAAAACACCGTTATGATTACTGTTGCCACCGTTAGTGCTCGCACCAATAGCCGGCGCTGCAGCGGCATTGACAAAACTAGCGCTGGCCGCATTTAATATATCGCTGAATTTATTTACCGATGTTGATGTCTTTGGGTGTGGCGCGGTGTGTAGATCCATGTAAAACATGTTTTTGCCAGCGTTAGCGCTAGCGCTAGCGGTGACGGTGTTGTTGGTGGTGGGTGCCGCGGCAATAACAACGTTCGCGCCACAAGTGGGTGTGCCCGCCAATGTCATTTTAAGTTCAGCACCGCACAGCTCGCCCGCGCCAACAATACCACTTTGAGCAATTGCCGTAGCGGCCGGTTTGGCTGCTGCTGCATCAAAGTTGTAATTACTGCTGCTGTAGCGCAGTTCAGTGCCGCCATTATTGCTAATACACTCGCCCACGCCACCTGCGCATGTCATTTCCAGGGACGCCGTAGCACAAGATGCTGCCGCCGTCGCCGCGCCCGCCGCTGACGTCGAGTTATTGCCGAAACTCGTGTTGGCGTTCGCACAGAGACCACCTCCGATGCCGGCGAGATTTATCGCTGATCCTAACATGCCACTTAACGTATTGAGATTTGTGCGACTGCCGGTAAGTAGGCCGCTCTGTTGTTGCACACGCTGCAGCACGGCCTCTTTGGTGTGGTAAGCGCCAAAGCCGCGCCCTTTTGGTGGTTGTGGCAGTGTGCGATGCGGCAACATTTGTTCCTTGCAACAGACAGTCGATGGCGTGGCACTTGCTGTTGTTGTCCCAGTGGATTTTAATGTATTTAGTTGCATTTGCTGTTGTTGTTGTTGTTGCGTGTGCATTTGCTGATATTGTGTGGAAGTTGTTGAAGGCTTCTTTAGAATTGGCTTCAATACAGGCGTAGGGTTACTCGGCGGTTGCACGGGCGGCAGTAAAGGCAAGTCAGCGGGTGTTGGCGTCGAGGAGGGAGTGCTTATCGTATCACTTTCCTCGCAGCTGGCATCTGGAAGTTAAGGGAAGATGGGAAAACAGTTACAATGCTTTAGTTGTCAATTGAAAATGTAGCGAATTTAATAAACAATTGTCTGGTGTTGATTTCATGTTTTAGTTGCTTTTGAGCGGCAATTTGTTTGGTAAGATGATATTTTCTGTTTCTGTTTTTTTTCTTGTTACTGCTTGGATGAAATTTATACAGTTATACTGCAATGAGAAATAACTCACTGAATTTTTACTCTCTTTAGCTTTTTGGGAACATAAAAAAAAGCAAGGGCTCGAAGGAAAAATTCATATAAGGACCTGGAAGGTTATATCCTTCTGATTCCAATAGCTGATGTGAATCCAATTGAAAATAGTCTTCACTGCTGCACGAGATTTCGAGCCAACCATCTTACTTCACAGGGTTAGGTACCAACAGACGCAAAATCTCTCCATCCAATTCCAAACATTCGCTGGGATGCTTACTAAACCTATAAGCCGTGTTGGCTATAGACAAAGAGTGATTACGTATAGAGTTATCCAAGACACGGAGTCAATGTCTTGTGGAGCAGAAGTCTGAGAAGACCACACATTCTAAGAAGCGGAGGACCCCATGGTTATCAGAAAGAATGCGAAGGGGTATCTATCCACTAACCAATCTTCAAACCAACCTACTTTCTGAAGGCGATAATCTTCTGTAAAAAAACCTGAGGAAGGTCCGATGTCAAAAAGCTGCAATCACAATAAGCAGTCGAACGGTTTTCCACTCGATTTGCACTTCAGCTCCCTGAGAGAACTAATTAGCAACTCAGAGTAAAGAACTGTACTACGGAATTTCAAGCTGCAAACGAATCAATTGGTTTTCTGATAGCTTGAAAAACGAGTGGTACGATGAGGATTGACGTGCAAGAGTGGAGAGAAAACTCCACTTCTTCGCAGCAACAACTACACGTGCAGGGTGGAAAATATTGAAGAGACCAGCAAGACAACAGATTTCGAGACCGGAGCGAACCCAGCATCCGGTAATGTGATCCAGCGACTCAAGTCCAGAGTATACTGAATTAAAGGAGGAAACATCTCTCCAGCGAATGAAATGGCATTGAATACCAGAATGTGGCTAGCCCGATAACCCAATCGAAGACTATGAAACAGTTCTACCATTTCTGTTTGAAAAGATGTTCGAAAATCGATTACTCGTTTAAAGAAAACCAAAACGACTGGACCCGATGGTTCTGCTGAGCTCTTTAAATATGGCGGTGAAGAGCTGACAAGTTTCAAGCTTCTTTGCAAAAAATTGGTCGAACGAAGGCATGCCCGACGAGTGAAACCTAAGTGTACTCCTCTGCCAAGTTCATAGAAAGTGGAATTTCACTGTCTGCGTCAATATCTTGAATATCGCATAAAAAGTCCAATTGGTTGTATTGTGTGAAAGGCTAAACTTTATCTGTGTGGTTTTAGTTCTGGGAAATCCAACATTGACTAGATATTCGCCATGCGCTTAGAAAAGATCCTAGAGAAAGAAACACACTACCACTTCGCCGATCTTAAAGCAGTCTTCGATAGCACGAAATGAATTTGGTATCTCTGAAAAAACTTATTCAGCTGCTAAAACTGACATTAAGAAAAACAGAAAGCTCCATCGTAAGCTCTGAGCTGCGAGCTCTTTAATTTATTGTAAGAGAAAATAATACGTGTGCAGAGATACAAGAACTTACAACTACTGGCGTCTTAACAGCTGTGCCGCTAGTTGTACGAAGCCAATGGATCTAGTAGTGAACGAGTGACAGGAGGAAATATCTTCTGTCATCATGCAAACAGTCAAGGCAGTCGCGACGGTCATAAGCTTGAAGTCGTAGAAAACTTCATCTATCTAAGTCACCAGCATTAACAACAATAATAATATCAGTCTTGAAATCTCACGCAGAACCACTTTTGCCAACAGGTGCTACTTTGAACTGAGGAAGTAGCTGCATAGTAACGTCGGCTCTCGACGTGCTAAGACCGAGCTCCGCAAGTCACTCATCATACCCGCCCTGCTATATGATGTGGCGGCATGGCCGATGACAACATCTGATGAGTCGGCACTGCTGAGAGTGCACGAAAGAAAGGTTTGGCGTGAGATTTATGGTTCCCTACGAGTTGGGAATTGTGAATACCGCAGTGGGTGAAACGATGAGCTGCACGAGTTATATACTGGCCTTGACATAGCTCATATAATCCAAGCACTCTTTGAATATATTTGATGCAGTACCTGCCAGTGGAACCGGCGGAAGAGTTTCCTCTAGAAAAAGTGGAAAAAGATCATTCGGATAATGAGCTGGCTGCATTGGTATCTCCAAAGTGGCGAAAAATTTGCGAAAAGAAGAAATGACTGATGCGTAGTTGTTAACTCGTAGAATAAGAGTACAACAACCGTCGGATAAACAAGATTTCACGGCCAAATACTCCAAACAAGCAATGCTTTTATTTTAATTAAATTTAAATTTACAACTTTATCTCGTGAAAAAGCCTTGATTGCTTGGGAGCGTTTAAATAAAATATAATTTTTTTTATTGTTTCAACCTCAAGTGTTTTCAATATATACGTATGTATGAGTGTATTATTTAATTAATGTGAGTAAACAAAGGCATTGCAAAGTGTCAGAATCGTGTGACTTAAAACTCATTTCATTCTAAAATTATTTGTGCATTTTTCCTTGCTTTCAATTCCCACTGAAAAACAACTACAAATGTTTTATCGCTTCACACAATTCAAATCGAAATTCATTGTTTTTCATATTCCTTACAAACTGATTGTTTTGCTTTTATGCTGCCACCTGCTGTTCCTATTCATATTTGCAGCTATTTGTCTTTCATATTATACTTTATGCATGTATGTATGTATGTATTTGTATGAAAAGGCTGTAATAACAGTCTACATTTTTTTTTTTAATAAAGTTAAAATACTAATAATCCCAGTAGACCAATGATTTTCAATTACCTTTATTTTTGAAAACAACGCTCCCCAGCTGTCAGCCGTTTGGCATTGCCGGTGGTGGAGGAAATTTCCTTTATATTAAACTACAACTTCCAACAATGCAAACTTCCTAGCATAGATAAATATACATGTACATACGTGTATATGGTTCTGTTCTTTGTTGACTTTGTAGTTGCTTTTGTCGTTGGGAATATTCTAATTTACTCTCGTTTATCCTTTTTTTTTGTCTTCTCTCGCCTATGCCGCTGCTAGTAAAAGTCGTCTAACATCGACTTACATCGACATATTGCATTTTCACTTTACTTCACTCAGCAGATTTGTGCTAATTTAAAGTTTCTAATTTTGTTGTCATCTACATACACACACTTGTGATTACGGTTATGTTGGCATATTCGTTTATTTATGTCAGTATCAAGTGGGTACAAGCGAAGTGGTTTGATGTTAAAGAATTAAAATTGCAGTTTCCTGCGCTTCCTAAGTTGCAGGCATATAACGCAGGATTATACATTTTGCGGTTTTGAAAAAAAAAACGTTAATGAAATGCATTTAAAATAATTTTTTTTTATGAAACTCTCTTTAGCAAAAGTTTATATCTTGGGCATTATATGTTAAACTCCACATCCCGCAAAGAACCGCCTCGCATATTTACGCAAACCTCGCTCCATTTGTGGTAATTTTCGACCACTTTTTGGCAAATACTGGACGATATCTCAGCCATAACTTGACGGTTGTTGGTTTTCGAGAGCGTCTTTCGCGTAGCCCTACAAAAATAAATTCTAACGGTCACAAATCGCACGATCTTGGTGGCCAATTAGCATTGCCAAGACGAGAGATTACGCGACCGGGAAATTTCTCTCGCAATCAAGCCATATTCGCTCCAGTTGTGCGACAGATTGGCACCATTTTGTTAAAATCATATATTACCCACATTGTGTTCTTCAATGCAAGCCAAAAAAATTAAGTCGGTTACCTTACAACCATAATGCACCGATTTGGCCTTGACAGGCTCGCCTTAGTCGTCTTCAAGTTAGTTCCAATCACATCTCCGCACCAGACGTAAGTTTTTTTTTTGTCCAGTCCTGCTTCGACTAACATTCAAAGTTAGATTTTCTATTTATGGTCGCCTCTCGGCAGGGAATGTCTAGCGCTCCGAGATCTTTATAAGATCTTTATAAAAATCCATTTGCTGCCCGTTGGTTGCTAAGCATAAACTTTAGAATTTGGCAGAGGAGCTCGACTGGGTATTGCTTCAGCTGTTACAAAGCGCCAATTGTATATATATAATGGTCTTTCTTCAATTCCTTGAGGAGTCTCGGTGCGCTGAAGAAACTTTCTCCGTGTCCATGTTGTTCAAGGACCCAATGTATATATATTTATGGCGTTGTGAATGGTCAGCTGGATTCAGTGGCTAGTTTGATATGGACTTTCTAAGCTCAAGTCCAAATAAAAGTGCCGTAAGAAATGCCTACCTTTTGGAAACGTCACCTACAGTACCGACATTTGAAGTGGAACGCGCAAAACGGTTATCCACAGTTCTTACAATATCTGCAACCGTTACAGTCTCTTCAAATTTCCTTAAAATTTTAGTAGCTGAACGAATATGTACACCATAATCTTCGCATAAAGCACGAATCTCCATTTTTGTTTTGAGTTTTAACAATTTTAACGCGTTGTTCGGTTGTTAAAACAAAACATGTATGGTTTGACAGTTAACTTTGACAGCCCAGTACCTGGGAAACCACGAGATGGATAACCCTATAGTTGTGTGAGTTGGCTTATGGGGAGTTTGAGAAGCAAAATTCATCACAAAAATTTTATCTTTGACTTTTGTTAAAGAAAATACAAGGAATTTTAGCAATCATTTACTTTCATTGACAACCGAGTTTAGTAGGAAGAATAGAGCGGTGGAAGATTGTTTTTTTAACGTTGGTTGTACTTGATAAAAGTGAGGTTATGTTAATTTGCTTCATGTACTTTCGAAAATGAATAACAAATAAATGTTAATCAAAAATGAAACATTTTTTTTCTCTTTTAATTGCGTATGAAATTTCG